AGTAACAAACGAACCGGAAAAACATGCATTTTCTAAGTGCAGTCATTACCTTCCGTATATTCTAAGACCAGTGTGTCGCAAATCGAAAGTTTGTGATAGAATAGAATAGAAATGACGGGTTAAAATGGAATGTGTTGCGTTTGCACTATGTGGTTTGGAATCCGATTCACCGAACCTGTCAGATTTGTCAAACACCGGGACAACTGCAAAAGCCTCGTGAATCTGCTGGCGCCAACCGATGTACATAGCCGGCTGCGAATATGGATAAGCAAATGTCAGCCGTGCACCATGTATTCAAATCTACCAATAAACTTATTATATCTGTGCCTGATGTAACTGAAAGCTTCGTGATGCATCGGGTTGCCAAGCATCCCTTCAATGTAGCTTGTGGTGATAGCATCTTCTCTATGAATATTTTTTAAAAATTATATGGCAGAACGGTTCAATATATGCAAGTCGGTAGGCGATAGACGTGCTGAAACCAAATAGAACTCAATTAACTGCCTCAAGGGACAAAAAGATTCATTTGTACATGTTTATTGATTTCTTGAAGCAGCTCGCCTGCAGCACAGAGGGTGTTTTGCTGGAACGAAACGAAATGGTCAACAGCAGAATTTCACTAGGCATGATTCTTGATCAGAATGTAGCCTAGATATCTTCGCAACATAAAAATTATGTTACGGAACCACTGTGATGTTAAGTTCAGATATGCGTTTCCGGTCTTCACGGTTTCGTTGATTTGAACTTTAAGGATTGGCTTGAAGAAAGAACTTGTCAATGCACATTTTGCTCGACGAACGGCGAACGCTGCCTAGGTTGAATAAAGTGTCTCGCATTTATGTGTGTAGCTGCAGATTCACCGGGACTGCTTCCACGATGGTCTAAGTCGTCAGTCGTTCAGAGATTTGTTGTAATGAATGGATAGGCGCACCACTGACACCACCATAGGGGCACTACTTTGAACAAGTCATACGGTATCATACAACTGTTTAATTGCAATGCCAAGCTCACTTCATGATCACCTTAGTTTTCATAACAAGTGGTTCTCATCGCACATTGCAAACTGAAGCCGCGCTGACAATATGTAGGTAGTTATAAACCAAGAAGATAAGGGACAGAGGCAGAGTCGAAATGCGTTGGTGAAAAAACGACCTTATGCGGTGCTTGTAAACAGCTATATTGAACCACGGATCAGACAAGGAACAGATATGACGCATAAAAATTTTGTGATATAAACTTTTATTACTGTAATTTTTGATTTTCAGTCTGCGAATGAGACGACAAAGAAAAACGGTTTTGTAGATTCTGCTTCATTAAACGTTCTTCACGAATTACATGTGATCACATCATATTTTTTAAAAAATTTGGGAAAGCAGAAAAGTAACCTTTCCGCTAATGAGAAACAATCTCAGCCAATCTTGACTCCGCAAGTACGCGAATCGCGTAGAAACGATGTAAGGGATCAACAACCTAACCCTTTGACATCATACGACATCTCTGTTATTCGTACTGACGGGCAAACACGTGCTTTTCCAAATCAGGTCGTGCTGAGTCTTCGTTCACCTCGCGGTTGCGTACACAGCTTGAATATGAGGCAGACTATAGACTGGTCAAAGCCAGGTGAATACACGGGCGCGGGACATAAACAGCAAAAGCGGCATCATGTTTTGATTATGAAGTACTTAAGAGCGCTTAAACTGAATTTGTTGACCAGTGTGCTCATAACAGTTGTTGCCTCACGGGTAAACCTGCCTGAGGCTTGACAATCTCTTTGTAAGTGCCTTACTGCCTAAACGGTTTCTGGTGTACTGGGTATTTTGCAAAGTTCGATCATGGCATTAGCTTTTTTAGGCATTGTTGCTGACTCCTGCTTCTGACGGTGTGATGAAGTTCCGTCTGTTCATTTTATTTCTGGTATTTCACGATTTCCATCAAGTTTATCCGGGTAAGCGAACTTCTGTTTGTTGTGGCCTAGCTTCTAGCGCCAGGAAGTAAGGCAGCGTACTTTGCACGACCAATAAGGTTTCTACAGTAAATACCCCACCAATATATGATGTCATATCGCAAAATCGCAACTGCGTCAAGTTCGTGCTGGCATGCAGTCGGAACCACGTCAACCATTGTTCCTTCAACATTCACCGTGCAGATTTTCCAACACCCTCTTCAGAACCGTTTCTTCATGTTGTTTAATGCTGAGATGACGAATTTCTTGGACAAATTGTTTTCCCACTGCGTACGATAAACTCTCATCGCAGGGTGCAGATGAAGCGACCGCTTGACAGAAATGCAGGTTAAACAATCCGTTTTTCAGCTACTGACAAGCGGTCAGTTCCATCGTGCTTACTGCGAATAGCACATGCAAGGCAAAAATATATTTCCAACGTTGCGGAGTTGGTAATGCACAAAATATAATTTCTAAAGCGTCATTATATTGTTTGCCAGAAATCTGTCATAAGAAAGTAAACATTTTTTCTTTCTCTTGATGACAATTATATTTTTAAATTTTTTTCCTTTTCAGATGGGTTTGGTACATATTGCCGAGTGGCGGCAGATTGTCAAAGCGAAAATGCTCAATGTGTGAACTCCATTTGCCAATGCAGCGAGACGTTCGTTCTTGCGAGGGATCAATTCGGTGAATTGTATTGCGTTAGTCCTGCAGATAGCAGCAGGTGTCTGAACAAGGTGTTCCAGGACAAACTTAAACAAGTCGGCGACAAATTTCCCTCATTAAATTCTGAACGTAAGTTAAAAACTATCGCGGTCTTCTTGTTGGAACTCGCACCTGCTGCAGCCGGTGCAAAAAGCGTTAAGGCACCGGTGGTCACGAGTTTGCAACCGATGGCGTCCGCTGTCAAGCGCACAGATTTGCACATCGAATGCTGCTTACGGCTGGGGTGCGGCTGATAACTTAGACTCATCGGAACTCAAATATTTGCAAGAACGGCCTCAAGGTTTCCTCCAGTTAGTTGTTAGGTAAGTCTCGTTAGTTGACTGCTCGATGGACATCGAAAGCCTCAATCTCTGTTGGAATCCAGCTGACCTCACTTCGTTGTTCCGTGCAGTGTTTCGTGTTGAGCGTCGTCTCATCAGCATGATGAAGACCTCACCGCTGAGTTATGATACCGGGCACCACGTGCAGACAGTGATGTTCCCTGAGAGTTGTAAATGTTAATTATCGGTCGCCAAGCAGTGACCTGAAACAGTTACATCAGCTTTGACATTGACTTGCTTTTCAGAGGACTTTGGAAAAGATTGCCAACTATCGTCAGACTGTAAAACTGAAGGCGCGGAATGTGCAAACACGAAGTGCGCCTGCAAGTCGACGAATATCTATGTCACCGCCTCAAGAGGCAGTGAAAGTAAAGTGCTCTGCCTGAAGTACGCCGATATGGACAGCTGTTTGGGAAGGATGAAACGCCAGGAAGCTGTCACTCTGAGTCCAGCTCTAAAGCGTAAAGGTGAGGAACGCAGATTACGGTTTTGCCGATAAATATTTTACGTCGCAACAAACCATCGCGAGCACTTCTATAAACAGCTTGTAAAGCACCATTGATAAAAATGACTATATGGCGAGCATGTAACGTCAACTTGAGCGTAATAGGCCTGAAGCAAATATCCACATAAGACCATTTCTGGCAGATGTTCGGTCAGTACCTTCATCAGTCGGACTGAGATATGAGTATCATATTTCTCCTTTAAATGCAAGATTACCTCACACTACTATGCACTGAGACATTTCGATTTTCACTACTCCAGCATTCGTTTAACGCAACCTCGTTTCTGTTGCCTGCATCACGAATTACATTCATTTGGTCAATATTCAGTGCTGATAACCGTGACAGGGTTGCGAGGAGACAAACTTGAAGTGATATAGTTCTGTATAGTGTTTTCTATTGAAACTAATATATACATGCATTTCTCTCCTTACTGCGATCAGTGGTAGCTAGCTGGTGAGAATATAGGTCTTAGCAATTCTTTGCATCTCGCACCTTTTGGTCGATAAGCGTAACCCGAATTTTTGATCTTGACAAGACTCTTCAAAATCTAAGAACCGATTGTTCAGAAATCTGATATGATTGTTACACTTCTGAAATGTTAGACAAGCAATAGTCTCATGATGGACATAATCCAATTGGCTTGAGAAACGTTGAATGATAAGCTTCAATAGCAGAGTGGTTGACAATAAGCACAGAGCAGCTGGAACGGCGAGAACTTCCTCCTGAGTGTTTTTAGATTTTGTGTCGAAGCATTCGCAGCAAGTCTTCTCCAGACAAATGTCTCAACAAATTCTGACTTCACAACATTATTTTAATTGGCTTTAGCCAAATCGGTTTCACATTAAGATTGTCGTATAAAAACCCTGCAACGCGGAACAGGCAGCTGTCCATCTCGTGTGTAGAAGAGCAAGAGGCGACCATCTCCAAAGCGGTCACTTTCCCTCATTAGCTACCCCGGTGTACGTGTCAGAGGTGCTAAAGGCTGAAATTGCTCAATGCTCGACAATGAGGTAAAGAAGCTTTAACGGGTTGTCAATAGGAAGACGGACAACTAATGATTACGGTCCAGAACGTTGAATGGCGTAGGAAACCATCGAAGATCACCTGTCGAACAGGAAACGTTTCCTTGTCGACGCAGTAAACTCTTTTAATACCAGAATGCGAATTAAAATCGGCCTGCATCTACTAACGATAGATACTCATGAGGATAAAGCAAAATTGAGGTAAATCCGTGAATTTTACTAATTGAAAACTATATACGGCCAATAAATTGCTTCAGAAAATAATGGCTTCTAAACAGTTCTGTCTTGAATATTTTTGCAGTCGCATTAAGAACTAGGGTCTCCTAGTTCTGTGCAGTTTTCGCATTTATTTTCCCGTTTCTCAACGTAAAGTTCATTTTCGCAGTAAGCGTACAAAGATCAGGGTCTTCCGCATGAAATCATTTCAAAACGCTAAGACACCACTCGTCCGAAAGGAACCATCAATCATCACTAAGACATCACTCATCATTATTATTTCCTAAATATTTCTCAACATTATTGTTTTTAGTGAAAGCGTTGAAAAAATGCGGTACCTCCGAAGTTAAACCATCTATCGACCTAAAGCAGGCGTCGAAAAAAGGGAAGTTTCGCATTATTGGAGGAACAAATGCTCAGAGTTGCAGCTACCCATTCGCAGCATTATTGCAAAAAAGACAAGGCAATAAGATCACATCATGCGGTGGCTCCCTCATTAGCGATAGACATGTCCTCACAGCTGCACACTGCTGGAAAGAAGGGTACGTATCCTCAGAACTGTTTCTTGAGTGGCTACAGAATGAATGTGCGTTAACTTCAATGTCCGCCATTGCATGATGTGTGCTTTCATTGGAGCCGCCCACCTGCCCCTTTTCACAGATATATCTGCTTCAATTTAAAAGACTAATTTTAAAGCGAATACGTTTTCTGAGTTTGTTTAACTTTTTGCCCAATTCATTCACCAGGATTGCAGTCAACAGGAAACCTTGGTTGGACTTGCTTCATACGGTCCAAACGTTTCGAACATCACATGCTAATAAGGATCATTTCTATCACTTAAATCATATAAACATAGTTTTAAAAACTTGAATTAGAATTTAACAATTGAACATGAGTTAAATGTACTATGTCAAAGAGTGAATCAATCAGTCTGTGCCCGTTTAAATGAGACTTGAGATTTTTGATCCTCGGCCCGTAGTTATATATACATTTGGTTGAAAGATTGGTAATTCAGGGCAACGAACACAGCATATGGTGAAAAATTTGTTACTTGATCAAGCTCAGCCTGTCGTAGTTCGTGATTCCATAGTTTACATATGTTATATCACCATGTTCATTCATATCTGTCTGAGGTTTTTTGCCCTTTCTGTGATACTCCTTTATTATATTATGTGAGTGTGCTCATCCCCTGTATATTGCTGTTTTGGTTGACTGAAAAATCGGATTCGTTGCTGATCCTAATTAAGCAGTAAAAATCTTTAACTTCAACAAGCACACGGACAGTTTACCTCAAAGGAGCACTGTCAGCCTTCCTAACACACTTCGCTCCATTTTTACTATTTCATTAATTTCGCAGGGTTCGTTCGTGTTGTAGAAATAAGCCCATCAGAGACATATGAATGCGCACCTTTGCAAGCTTAGGTAAGTTGATTTCAACAGATTTTGGATCGCTTGTTTGTGGAGCATGACTTGAATAATCTCAGTCTTTATTCTGTTCTGCCTTTGCTGGACATATTTGTGCTGTTGGATTCTTCCCCGCAGGCTGGCTGAACACCTTGTGACAATTACAATGCAGTCGGAAAGCTGTTAAAGCTTTGACTTTTATTCATTTATCTACAGCTTCTGATTTTTGTAATATGGTGTCTTGGAAATCTCTCTTAGAGCTGCTGTGATTAATTTCGGTGATGTTGAGAAGTTTCTCGAATTTGAAGTCATGGGTGCCTTCTTGAAGCTGGATGATATGCCGCTGCACTCCTGAAAATCATTGTGCTGAGCCTTCATGAATTCTTTTGATCGATGTCTTCTCGAAACATTTAGTAATGTAAGACTCAGCTAGTGTCAGTGATGTCACTCTCAATAAGACGCAAGCACTCGACGTGCTCTTGCAAGGTACAGGAGGCAGGTGCGACCAAGCGGAACATCCAGATAGACCTACCGTCTCACAGACGATTGGAAATTGGCACAGGTTACGGAAGCGACCCGACGAGTCGGCAGAAACCTGAAGTTCGTACCGATTGAAGAAATGACCAAATGCATATGCTTCCGAGCATGGAGGATTGAACGACCAAAATTGTTTGCTAGCAGAACCTCAGACAGAAAGTGCTTTGCAGTTGGACAGTTGGCCTACGTTGGTCATTTGAGGATGACCAAAGAAAATGAAACCGTATAAGAGAACCAGCCAGCTTTGTAAAACATAAAGTGAGCTTGATACAGGCATTTCCGATTTCTTTTATATTGCAACTGTAGTACACTATGCACGCTTATATTCATTGAGCGAACGCTACAAACCCCTTTTTCCTGTTTTCCTCGCAACGCTGATCCCAGGGCTAGGCAAATTTGTTCTAATCCTAAGGCCTTGTCGTAATCGACGAATACCACGGAAGATGCAGTCAACATTCGTTGCCGATTCACCTGAAGTTGTTTGACCGTACTGAATCCACTTCTGAATCCTGTTTACTTCTTGGGCTTCTTGGGCAGGACCAATTTTTAATGAAGTCTGTTCGTCAGTACCTCGCTGAAGGTTGTGTAGATGAGTGAGAGTAAGCTGATCAGCTTGTTCTTCAGATCCTCATCTTTTCTTGTAATAGAACGTAGTCCAGTCATCTAGGATTTCAATACTTTCAGACAGTACGAAAACAAGCGCGCTACTATGCTTGTTAATGCTTCATCTCTTGATTCCATAAATTTCACGGTAATGCAGTCTTCGTCTGGAGATTTTCCTCTCTTCGATTATCTTTATTTCTTGCAGGTCAAATTTCTTCCGGCAAGATTTCTTGAATTTCTTATGCATCTATTAGTTTCTTCAGTTCCATCTCTTCATTCAGTGATCATAATTTTCATGTTTTCATATGTTATAAAGATGTACCTACTGCTCTCGATCTTTTGCCTGTCGCTGACCATGGTACCATTTTCTGCTTTGGCAGCTCAAACTTGCATTTTCCAACTGCCAGTCTGTGGTTTAATTTCTGTCTGCTTCAGAATTTGAATAGTAATATTTGCCTATTTGTAGTTGAACGAGTGGATATATTGCTAATGCGTTTGCTCGAATGACTTACATGATTGATGCGTTGCTGAGGAAATCTACAACCATATATCCTCTCTTCAAGATGTTATCCGTTGCAGTACCTTTTTCCTTACGATCAAGTACATGAATTGCATTGTTCGTACGTTGTAGTTTGT